CGCTGAGTTCCTGACCTGAAGGAAGGTCAACTGCGGGTCTTTGTGGACCTCCTCTTTCAACTCTCTTCTTAGGATCGGGGTTGCCAGCCCCTCGATGAAATGGTCCCTCAGTAGGCGCACATCAATGTCAGGTGTTTTTACCTTTACCGAATCAAAGGCCCTGTTCATCCTGTGTGAGTACTCCATCACACTCTCCGCCAATCTCTGCCTTAAGCCTACGAACCCTGCCAGCAGTTGCGATCCCGACCGTCTCTCCCCAAAGGTCTCCATAATCAGATCCAGCACCTTATCTGGATCTGATTGGATGGTTTTATCGTGGCATTTGACCTCTGCCCTAACCGTCTCTCCTATACTGCCCATCAGCAGTCTTAATCTCTCCTCTGGTGACATGCTTCTCGAGGCCCAGGCCGCTTTGACCTCTTCACTGAACCTGTTGGTTAAAGTTGGATCCCCGTCCCCGTAAAATTTGTTAATGTGGGACTCTCTGGGTAGGACCACTATATGGGTCTGCTTCTCGTCCAGAGTAGACATTTTATTCCGTAAGTAAAACAAAAGAGTTCTTTCTTACCGTGTGTATATGAAAAAAATTTTCCTCGATTTTCACAGTTCCTGAATGTCAGAATTCACACACACACTAAACACAGTTATGCACAAGGTTGACTATGGGTGCCTAACTCGGCAAGTCTAGTTGAATTCATCCTGCTCGACGACGCCAAATGTGACCTAGGCTAGTTGCATCTTTCCTGTTCGCAACGCCAAATGTGACCTTCCCTGAGTCTATCCTGCCCGACAACGCCAAATGTAACGAGTTGAACCACTCATGCTACACAACATCGACTACAGTAGAAAGACTCGAAGATGCAGGTTCGCTATTGATCCTTTTATTACATGAATCAAGAAATGCTTCAATATAACACAATGAATCAACAGAAATGTTTCACAATAATAGTCTGAATCAACTGACCCCCTAACAGTCCTCACTAGGCTTCATATAACTGAATCCACATGTCTATTGTCCTTCTTAACACAATATAACCAACTTGAGTATGTCACACAGACTGACTGATCTAAAGCGAGCGATGAAGATGGAAGAGAGCTCGCAAACGGGAAGAGAACGAGTTCAGTCGTCCCCTCCTATTTATGCCTTGTATCCGTACTCGTCTCCGTACTTGTATTCCTCCGTAATCGATACTTGTACTCGATGTCTCCGACCACTAGTTGCGTAGTTCTAACGTACAGTCCGTAAAATAACATCTGCATCCTATCAATCAAAGTTGACAGGCCGTCTGGATCTCCTCGTACCGTTTCCCAAAATAGCACGCGTTGGCTTTGAGGTTGTTATCAGCCCGACCCAATAAGCCACCTGTTATCGGTTGCATCAGACCAACACTGCGTCTCGGCTTCTCGTTCGTTATCAGATTTGTAACTAGTGGCTAGGCCTACCCTAGTCACACATATATATATATATATATATATATATATATATATATATATATATATATATATATATATATATATATATATATATATATATATATAATATTTATAAATGTGTGTCTGTTTGTGTGTGTGTGTGTGTGTTAGTGTGTGAGTGCACGACAACATTTCTGTTGCTCGCTACTTGAGTAAGTCTTGAATTAGAAATTGAAAGTAACGTTTTTATATTGTGAAACAAATGTGATAGATTTAGACTTACATCGTGGAGGACAGGGTGAAACAAAGCCTCAAATATGTGCAAGATTTGAACTGGTTATATTATGGAGAAGTTGGTAAAAAAAAAAGGCCTCAGAGAAATGCAAGAGGAAGTTGGTGAGACAAAGATGTGCAAGATTTGAACTGGTTACATTATGGGGAAGTTGGTGAAACAAAGCCTCAAAGATGTGTAAGATTTGAACTGAGCCAGCTAGTACTAGTAGTCTCAAAGATGTTCCGTCATGACGTTCAACGAATACAATTCTAATTCTACACGTACAAGCCACCCTCAGCACACCCAAAAGACAAGCTGGTCAAAAATTGACACGCCAGTGTTTCTCCTTGAATTAACAGTGGCCCGTGTTCCCCTCTCACACGAGGGACGCGTAAACATGATTTCTATAAATAACAACAACGCTTAACAGCTGCGGGAGTGATCTCCCCTTTCAATAAGATTATTTGCAGTGTGGGAGGCGTCACCTTTAGCTCCCCCTAAGCCCACGAGCCGTATTGAAGGGAAAGGTAGCTCGCTTGAAGGCATCACCGCGGGTCGACACGGGCGTTTGTTGTGTCTGTGGCGTCTAGGGTAAACACCCGCTGGTGGCTAGCTTTGAGCATTTGGTGAGCTGGTGTCTTGGTGGGGTGGATTTTTAGAGATGTGTGGGAGTCGTTGGGGAGGGATGGGGGGGGGGGGGGGGGGAAGGAAATCGAGAGATGAGATCAATCACTGAAAAAGTTGGAGGTATTTCTGTATTGGGCGTATCGAAGTTATTTGCGTGCAAGTGCCCTAGGCGTAGTCTGTAGTGGTAGCCATTACATTATGGTGGTAGCCTTAGCGTTAGCTTAAGTCATGCGGCTGGGCGTAGTGCTGACCACAGTATCCCTTTATGTGCCGTGGGATATCTGAAACAGATGAGCTCTACTTCATCTGCCCAATGTGTCTTGGACACGAACGGGAAAAGGTGATGATGAACTTAAATCCCGGTTTTAGCTCTATTGTTAATATTAGCCATAGCCTTAGTTAGACCTAATGTAGTTTACTCAAGTTAAGATTAGTCATGGCCTTAGTTAGACCTAATGTAGTTTACTCAAGTTAACATAAGTCATGGCCTTATTTAGACCTAATGTTATCTGTAACCATAATTTAGCCCCAATGTTAACATGCGTTATATCATTAGTTAGACCTAACAGAAACCCTAACCATAGTCTCAATCGTTGAAACAAATGCACTAAAACTCAAAGATAAACCTTAACACAAACACAGATCATAGTCAAATACCTCTTAATCCACGATTTAATCTTAGCCCCAATTCAACAGCCGGATCCTGGCCCAAACTCATAATAACATTTTAACACAAATCCATATTCATAACAACATTCCTAAATATCTTTAAACAACCCAATCAAATCCAAATAACATTTTAACACAAAGCCATATTCACAACAAAATTCCTAAATCTCTTTAAACAACCCAATCAAATCGAAATTAAACTATCACACATTTTAAACACGCGTCAATCTCCACCGCTAAATTGTTTTACGATAATAATTTGTCAAAATCATTACCTCACCCCCCCCCTCACCCCACCCACCATTTATATCTTGCCCCGATGACAAGAGTTCATCTCACGCATCTCTTCGAAGCACGTCCGCCCCCCCCCCCCCCCCAAAGAAATATATTTGATTAGGAAAGATATTTTAGATATATACATATACTTTTCCGCTGCCCCCAAACCCGAAAATTCAAAAAGTTTCAACCCCCCCCCCCTGAGAAAACAAACACTTCTTATGAATATAGCAGTCAATGGTCTCAATACAAGTGAAACAGAAATACAACAGATAAAGTTTAGCTTTTATTCTGAGATTATACCCACCCATCGCTGTTCCATCCTTCATGAATATAATACCACCCTGTTGATACCACCCCCTCACTTCCGACCTGCTCACTCACCCTCCACCCCCCTCCACGCACGAGCCTTTAGCTTACTCACGTGCACAGCGTACTCAGAACACTGAAGCTGTGAGCTTTGTTGGGGGGGGGGGGGGGGGGAGGGGGGAGGTTGAAGCATCCCCCCACTCGAACTTAAATGTACCGGGTGATATCGATTCTTAGTTTTATAATATCAAAACATTGTTCGATTACCACGTTAAAGTTATGCCAATATATCCTTGACGTCAAAATAAAATGCTATTCACGATATCCGATGGGTTGACCTATTAATTACATCTAAATTATAAATATTCTTATCCCCAAGTAAAGTAAACCTATTGTTCTGTTTAAATGTCTAAATAACAATAAAAATAACAATAACTCTTGACATTGTACTTTCCCATGCAACAAATGGAGGTGAAATTCTTCTCTATGCTAGCTGGCGGTCATTACACGAAAACGCTTGTCATAATAATCGATGCCGCCCGGGCCATCGCAACGCCTGAAGCCCATTCTTTCAAATTGGCACCAGCTACCGGAAGCGGTCTCTGCGAATTTAGGGATTCTGGGAGGAAATGGCTGCGTGAATCGGTCTTGTGAAACCTGATCCCCCCCAACAGCTGATCGTGACATATGGGAGCAGGGGAAATAAGCGTGAATGGATACATATATGTACATGAATGAACGCCCTTGGCCTTGAGTGAGTTGTGAATGAGTTCGGGGGGTTTGAGAGTATTTCAAGTGGAGGGTGGGGGAGGGGGGGGGGGGGACGGGAGTTAGGTATGTGCGGGTTGGGTGTCTACTTTTGGGGTGGGGGTTGGGGTAGGGGGTACGATGGATGGAATGGGTGGGGTAGAAAGGAGAGACAACCCATCACGACACAGTAACAAAGAGTTCACCTTTCAATTTACATTTTTTAAAACTCAGTTGATCTGGCCACTAATTAGTCAGGTTTGCCATATACGCGTGGAAAAATAATATTCTAAAATATATTAATTAGACAATTTTCATTATCTGTTTATACAAGATACTGCTACTTTATAATTCTCTTATAGTTATTTATTATAAGTGTTATGATCTACTTGATATTATACTTTTCTAATTATTTAAATGTACTATACCATCTTTATAAACATACTTTGATTAAAAAAAAATACTATGATGATCCAATATTTAATTGTGTATTTGTACATTTATTAAAATGTGCTATACCATCTTTACATACATACTGTGATGCTCCAATTGTTAATTGTATATTTGTACAATTTGATCCTATTATATCATTGTGTGACTACGCATCTGCTCTGGTTCATCCTACTAAAGGTGCGTCCTTCCAGTCCCTATTCAAATATGGTCAACCTTATCACAGACGTCTTACCTAGTTCACAGTTGGGTCCTATGTAACCATGGCGACACTCGCAAACATTCGGGGCCACACACTTCCCGCCATTTCTGCACTCACCACTGCATTTAGCTGGAAATAAAAAAAATTCTAATTCAAAGTTAGGTTACAAAGCTACAAGGTTTTCACAATTTCTGCATTCACCGCTACATTTAGCTGTAATTAAAGAAAAAAATAATAATTTAAAGTCAGGCTTCAAAGCTTTCTACATTCACCGCTACCTAGCTGAAATTTTAAAATAAAAATAAAATTGGCGGAAATTATAAAATATATATAAAACTTTAAAAAAAAGTGGAAATGATATCATAAATCAAAACATAAAAAGCAGGAAAGGACTCCCAAACCTTCTCGTATGTAGATCTACGTTTATATTCTTTTTTTTTTCGACAGGAAGGTGTAAGACATCAAAATTGTCAAAATCATGATTTCGATTTTTTGCACGATTACAATACTTCCCCTCTACTCCGACACGAGTAAGTAAAAAAAAAAACGTGACCCTAAGTGAAGACAAACATTTATGATTGCAATATGTGTATCAGTGCCCAAGTCAGTCGAAAATTTGTATATTATTTTTGCAATGTGTGTTCGATTATTGTATGTTTATGGTGCAAATAGCAAATTATTATTTTCATTAAATATATGACAAGTTCTCGACCTTTTCTCCATCACAATCCTAATATATAAAAAACCCTGTGCGCACTTCTCTCTCTCTCTCTCTGTCTGTCCGCAAAATATTTTCGCCGGATATCACGTCAGAATCGGCAGCGATATATGGATACCTTTATACGGACATTACGTTAAATATTTTCTTTTTATGTGTATGGAAATTTTATCTACACGAATGTTCACACAATGTGGTGAGCTGTAATAAATTCATAACTCAAAGGAGCACCGGTCAGAGGCGTAGCGATCCATTCCGGCGCCCGGGGCGGCTACCCCACCCGACCCCACCCCCTTGCTACGCCTCTGGAACCGATTCAGAAATTAAACTTAGCCAAAAATAAGTAACCACAAATTTATTTGAATATAAAAAAAAAAAAACAAAAAAAAAAAAAAAAATACAACACAAATCTTTTTTTTTCCCCAACTCCCAACAAATCACCTCCATTTTTTATGTTTTTCAATTATGTAAACTTCATGTATTCCGGCAGAACTGTGTTAAAAAGGGCAACTATTAATGTCACAAACGTAATAACGGAAGATATATGATAGCATTAAAACCCCGGTTTCTCGGTCGTTTCCACCCGTTTTTGTTCTTTAAACGTCAATCCAACACGTTACAGCGCGTAATATTCAAAACACGACGATAAAACAGACGCGACTGTGTTGTGTAATGAATGAAAGCGATAAGAAAGTGTGAGTAGGTGTGAGGAGTTTGTGTGGCAGTTAGATCAGTCTAGCTGCTAGATCAGTCGAGCAGTTAGATCAGTCGAGCAGTGGGTTTCACACATTGTTGCAGAGCCCCCAGCGTTAAAAAGAAATTGTTAAATAATTTGTAAACACAATTTAAAAAACACACGCACACACAAAACTAGAAGGTAAAATTGAAAAATTGTTTTCATAGGTGTTAAGAAAATATTATGGGATTATGAAAATGTTTACCTTAATAAAAATAAAAATGATTAAGACTAATTAATGTTTTTTTAGTTCTACTGCATATATCCGCTCCTTGAAACACAGATCTGATTGTTGGATCTTATTATCAAATTTCACTTAAAATATTTTCCTACCTTACTGAAACAAAATTTTTTAAACTTGCGTATATTTGTTTTGGTTTGGCAAGCTAACATTGATCTGGCACACAGTGTTTGGGTACAGGATACCGTCAAACCAGAACAGTCATAGGTACAGCATAGCGATACAGGACCATTTCTTAAGTCACGATTGATACTAAATCGAAGCAGCTTTACCACAACTATATAGCATCACCACACCAATACAACATCATCACACCAATACAACATCATCACACCAATACAACATCACCACACTAAAACAACATCACCACACCAATACAACATCACCACACTAAAACAACATCACCACACCAATAAATCATCACCACACCAATAAAACAGCATCATACCAATACAACATCACCACACCAATACAACATCATCACACCAATACAACATCATCACACCAATACAACATCATCACTACAATACAACATCACCACAGGAATACAACATCAGCATACCAATACAACATCACCACACCAATACAACATCACCACACCAATACAACATCACTACACCAATACAACATCATCACACCAATACAACATCATCACACCAATACAACATCACCACACCAATACAACATCACCACACCAATACAACATCACCACACCAATACAACATCACCACATTAATACAACATCACCACACTAATACAACATCACCACACTAATACAACATCACCACACTAATACAACATCACCACACCAATACAACATCACCACACCAATTCATCATTACCACACCAATAGATAATCACCACATTAATACAACATCACCTCACCAATACAACATCAACAAAGGGCCATGTTTCACAATTTACTATCTCAATACAAAGCCAACATTACAATCACAATGTAGAATACCAGACATCCGTCAAACCTCCTGCTTTGTGATCGATTGATTATTTCCCATTTAGTTTACGACCCACACAAACTTCCCATATTCATATAACTCTGATGGATAACTAACCAAATTTTCGGAAAAAAATAATAATCGATCGGGTATACAGCTGACCAAACCATGCCATTATATATATTATATAACTTATCGGGCATATAGCTGACCACACCATCCCATTTATATAACCGACCGGGCATACAACATCCAATTTACATAACCAACCGGGCATTCAACTGACCACACCCTATATGTAACCGACCGGGCATACAGCTGACCCCTCCACCCCATTTATATAACCGACCGGGCATATACCATCCCATTTAAATTCCATCACCAAAAAACTAAAAAAAAAACACCTCTGCCTCTAAAATCTGTCAGGTCTGAAGGAGCATTACCCCACCCCGACACCCTCTTTTCTCCCTTCTCTTCACTCCCACACAACCTGAGTACCTAGACCCCCCCCCCTCTCCCAACCTCTCCTCCACCTGAACCCTAACACAAAAAGTTAAAAAAAAACACCTAGCATAAGTGGACGATTCGGTTACCTTGGAGTCTGGCACCAGTCTTTGATCCACCAAGAGCAAGTGCCGCGAGAGATGGCAGACAGCACAAAAAGCTTGTCCCGTTTGTCGGCTGACAAATTCACTCTCAGCAACAAGCTGCTTCGGATATTCCCGGTTATTTTGTAAACCATTACAGAGGGTGAAAAACAACGGTAAATTAGCTAGCCGGTACAAGCGGCATCGGATATTCCCGGTTATTTTGTAAACCATTACAGAGGGTGAAAAAACAACGGTAAATTAGCTAGCTGGTACAAGCGGCTTCGGATATTCCCGGTTATTTTTATAAACAACGGCGCAGAGGAAAATGGTGAATTAGCTTGCAGCCAGTAGCAGCTTCGGATATTCCCGGTAAAATTGCTTCCGCTAGGGAGATTCCTGTTTATTATGTAAACCGTTATGGAGGTAAAAGCAAAAGTAAATTATCATGTAGCTAGCTATATGATGTTTAGGATATTCCCGTTTTTTTTAAAGCTTTCAGTCCCTAATAAGGTAAAAACAAAGTTAAATTAGCACGCAGTATGTACAACCCATTATGAACACGACATCAATGGCAAATTAGCTTGCAACTACAAATAATTTCAGACATTCCCCGTTAATTTTATTGCAATATCCGGCCTGTGTTAAGGTGTGAAAACCCCTGATCCCCGCGGTCCCTTTTATCTGGATCCCAAAACCTGGGGTCGCTAATGGCGAGGCTATAACATGTAAACTGCTGTACACGGTATATAAAAAACAACAAAGGGAACACGTTTCCCCCGGCTAGGGGACATCCGTCATCAGCTAGCCACTGCTACCATGCTAGAAAGGTAGCTCTCTGGTGGAGGCTCGCTTCGCACCTCTGAGGGCTGATGGTGTTTTCTAGAACGTCTTTCAGCGGGCAGCAGGTGATAGAGACCAAGGTGTAGTAGTTGAAGGGGGAGGGGTGGATGATGGGAGGGGTGGGGCGTATTGGATTGTGGTAGGTTGGAAAAGATGGTCAGTTTAAAAGTAATGGTTATATAAATGTGAATGTCAATAAGAATGTGATAGCCGTGTAAATGTGTTGGCAATGTAAAAGCGATGGTCAATATAAAAGTCGGTTGTAGTGCTCAGTGTTAGTGTATGGTCAGTGTAGAAGTGGTGGTCATTGTTTGTGGTATGGTCAGTATAACGATGATCAACGAATGTGCGATAGTTTGGGAGTGATGGTTGTTTTTATCTTATTTCATCAATTCGATTCACAGGTCACCAGCTCTAGCGCTGCACCACTTGATGACAAATACTGGACTAGATCACTCGAGCGGACACATGGGATAAAAAAACACAATGGTGATCCATCGTGTCTGGCTACAGGACATTACACCCCCCCCCCAATGACCCCATGACATTCCCCCCCCCCGTATTTATCTCCCTGTCAATTACCCCCGGGAATTACATCCCCCCCTCCCCCTCAAGTTAGATTCCTAACTCTAACTTTAATTCTATACCTATATATATATATATATATATATATATATATATATATATATATATATATATATTTATATGTATATGTATATATATATATATATATATAACCAGAATAATAACCTTGAGAAAAAGACCAAAACCTAAGCATTCACCTCAGCCTAAAACTTAACACAAAACCAAAACCAACTATAGACATTGGTTTAAGCCTAACCTTGGCCTTAACAATAACCCTAATCCTAACCCTAAATCTAACCCTAACCCTAGCTCTAACAATAGCCCTAACCCTAACCCTAACCCTAACCCTAGCCACAGCCACAGCCACAGCCACAGCCACAGCCACAGCCATAGCCATAGCCATAGCCATAGCCATAGCCATAGCCATAGCCATAGCCATAGCCATAGCCATAGCCATAGCCATAGCCATAGCCATAGCCATAGCCATAGCCATAGCCATAGCCATAGCCATAGCCATAGCCATAGCCATAGCCATAGCCATAGCCATAGCCATAGCCATAGCCATAGCCATAGCCATAGCCATAGCCATAGCCATAGCCATAGCCATAGCCATAGCCATAGCCATAGCCATAGAAGAAGAGATGGTAGTGTCGAATTCACAAATTATGAATAACTGAAAAGAAGCAAATATATTCAATTTTGGTTGAAAAATACGGTTTCTGGCAACAAAAATTTGGAACCATTTGGAATCAAATTTTCAAGTACTTTGTTTCTACGCATATGTAAAAAAAAGTTTGTGTCAGAGATAGCTATGGATCTCCTCAATTCTTTTTAAATACTTAGCTTGAAAAACATCACTGCCAGTTGTATGGAACACTCTAGCGTTTGTTAATGTCGTACGACTATAATAAAACTACAGCTTCAATTTCATTTTAAAATATTTATTCCCCGTGTAATTAGAAATTTATTTTATGGATAAAATCTTTTAATTGCCAAAGACAAGAGCCAAGCTACAATAAAAACGAATCGGATGAGTCAATTTCAGCTCCTGCTAAAAGATCTAGACATCATGGGAACTACTTTTTTTCTTAATAGATCATTCCGCGTTATCAATGATTCACGCTCGTCCTTAAAGTACAAACTTTATTAATGGGATGTTTTTCTCATTTATTGACGTCATCTAATCGCTTCTGATTAGACATGTATGTATATATATATATATATATATATATATATATATATATATATATATATATATATATATATATATATATCTGTAGTATATATATATATATATATATCTGTAGTATATATATATATATCTGTAGTATATATATATCTGTAGTATATATATATATCTGTAGTATATATATATATATATATATATATATATATATATATATATATATATATATATACATATATATATAGTATATATATATATATATATATATATATATATATATATATATGTATAGTGAGAATATCAGTTTCCTGAGTATATAACCTGGTAGCTAAATGATACCCATTTTACACGTTAAATAAACCTTTTGTAACAGTTGTCTGAAATGTTGCACATTTGGCAAGCATACAAAATGGCGACGAAATAAGGTGCAGTGATGCTCATATCAAGCAGAAAATTTGGACGAAACGATACTGTTTATTTCCGAATTGGGTTCGTGGTTGGAGGCAGTCATTTGATCCGTCATTCTTTTCTTGGCCTTCCGTTTCCAACAGAGGCAGGAAAGCGAATAAAATTTCATTTTCTCTTCAAGTGAAAGGGAGAGAAAAAATGTAAGAGATGTGGATGAAATTCACTTCCGTTTATAACAAGATCATATGAGATATTGGGGAGGTTGATTTTTTTTTTCTTCCCCAGGTAACATCGCTTTAGGCCTGAAGCAGACGTTTACTCTTGTAGCAGACGAGAGGGAACCAGGCGATAAGGGGAGGTAATTGAATCGTTATTTTTCAACAAGGAAAGTCAAACTAAGATTACATTGAAAAAAACAAAACAAACAAACTACAACAACCGATGAAGCATGAGCATTGACTACTGGTGCAAAGATGTATTGGTATGTGTGGGCATATGGTATGTGTGGGGGATTTAGTTTGTGTGTGGGGGTGGCATATTGGTACGTGTGGTGGTAGTGGTGGATTTCGTGTGTGTATGGATGCGTGTATATATTAATACTTGTGGTGATGTTCGTTTGCGTGTGTTTGCGCGCGTGTTCGTGCGTTTGAGGATATTTGTTGTTGTGTAAGTTTGTGTGTGTGTGTGTGTGTGTGTGTGTTCTGTCTGCACATGTCTGTGCATCAACTGCCGGTGATGATATCCTCAACACTTACGTCTACAGGTGTAGCCGTCTCCGGCATATCCGTCTTTGCACGCGCATGCGTAGTTGCCGTTGAAGTCCAGACACTCCGCGTCGTGGTGACACGTGACTGACCCGTGCTTGCATGACTCGGACTCTGAAACAAAGTCAAGTCATGTATGACTGCATGTGGGATGTCAGCAAAGTATAACTGCAGGGAAAGATGGGGGTAAGGCATGCAGAGTTTCTTCCAGGCATCTCTTCGGGGGTGGGGGGGGGGGCAGAGAAAGAAGTCTACCTCCCGTACCTCCCGTACGAAATAAAATTTATATAGAAAATATATACTTTAGCCAGTGTCCGCCCCCCCCCTCCCCCGGAAAATGTTGACCCCCTCCCCCCAAAAAATATCAAGTGCCCCCCACCCCCCTCGGAGAAAAAAAGTTTGGAAGAAACACTGAAGGCATGACATAAGATACAGACTTGAGGTTCAAACAATTTTGTGTGAAACGCTTCTTAAGAGTCCATAGACCCCGAGATTGGTTGTTTTATTTTATTAAAAAAATCTTTAACAGAATAAACTCAGAAACAAACTATTATGTATAACATAGCGAGTTCAAAATTAATAAAAAGGAGAAATTGATAATAGTCAAAGTCGTAGCATCATTTGCAAAGTGCGCACTATTAAAATTGGTGACCTGGTCATATAAGATAAATAAAAGCTTAAAATTTTGTATTCCTTAATCCGGTTCTAAATTATTGATAAGAAAATTAAGGGTTTTAAATATTTAACTAAAGCTTCGTTCCAGCTATAAATAACTATGTTCTAACAATTTCTCCTCGAAGCCGGTGATATAATACCTTCATCGATCGATCTTCACTGTTGAGCAGCTAATGGTTTAAAAAATAATCCCCTAATTCCAATTAGTTTCATACTACCCAAGGAAGTCTGAGCTACATTAACTTTTAAAAAATACGACCTACACACGCTACAAACTACGTCAAATCCAGAGTTTCTTCCAGGCATCTCTTCGGGGGTGCGAAGCCCCCCCGAAAAATTTTTACCGCCCCCCCGAACGAAATGAAATTTATATAATGTATATAGAAAATATATACTTTTAACAGTGTCCGCCCCCCCCCCCCGAGGAAAGTTTACCGCCCCCCGAAGATTTTAAGTGCCCCTCCCGGAGAAAAAAGTCTGGAAGAAACACTGGTCAAATCCAGGGGTATACCACATAAACACTGTATCAGAAACTATTCCGTCACAAAATCACAATACATTACTTACACACTATATTAGAAACTACCCCTTACACCAAATTCTAGAATATTTCACATACAACTATCTTAGAAACTACCTTTTACACCAAATCACCAAATCCTAGAATATATCACATACAACTATCTTAAAAACTACCCGTTACATCAAACCCTAGAATATATCCCATATACACTATCCCAGACACAACCACTTTACACCAAACATTAGAATATATCCCATATACACTATCCCAGACACAACCACTTTACACCAAATCCTAGAATATATCCCATATACACTATCCCAGACACAACCACTTTACACCAAACATTAGAATATATCCCATATACACTATCCCAGACACAACCACTTTACACCAAACATTAGAATATATCCCATATACACTATCCCAGACACAACCACTTTACACCAAACATTAGAATATATCCCATATACACTATCCCAGACACAACCACTTTACACCAAATCCTAGAATATATCCCATATACACTATCCCAGACACAACCCCTTTACACAAAATCCTAGAATATATCACATACACACTATCTTAGAAACTACCCCTTGTGCCAAATCTTAGAATATATCCCATTTACACTATCCCAGACACAACCCCTTTACACCAAATCCTAGAATATATCACATACACACTATCTTAGAAACTACCCCTTGTGCCAAATCTTAGAATATATCCCATTTACACTATCCCAGACACAACTGCTTTACACCAAATCCTAGAATATATCACATACACACTATCTTAGAAACTACCCCTTGTGCCAAATCTTAGAATATATCCCATTTACACTATCCCAGACACAACTGCTTTACACCAAATCCTAGAATATATCACATACACACTATCTTAGAAACTACCCCTTGTGCCAAATCTTAGAATATATCCCATTTACACTATCCCAGACACAACTGCTTTACACCAAATCCTAGAATATATCACATACACACTATCTTAGAAACTACCCCTTGTGCCAAATCTTAGAATATATCCCATTTACACTATCCCAGACACAACTGCTTTACACCAAATCCTAGAATATATCACATACACACTATCCAAAAAAAAACCCAACCAAAAACAGAACAAATAGTAATATTAAAAAATATAAATTTGGATTAAAAAAAAAAGAGTCCCTAAGTCATGTTCTTGCATACATTTCTCCCTCCCTTCTTTCACCCACGTCCTTTAATCGAATTTGTCTTATCAGTCGACCAAACCTATTAAGCTAATTAGCGTAATCACCCACTGAAGCTTCCACAACGCTACCTATTGTCGGCGGCGATCCCTCTACCTAAAGCCCATGTTAGCTTTGACGACTGCCGACAGCCCCTACCCGACCCTTACGCTTTGACCTTGCATAAATAATGAGATTACAATCCGACCTCATCGAATCAATGAAAACTGAGCATGCCCAGAGAAGAAAAAAAACAACAACGCGGACTGCCGAGAAAGACGATGAAACCATCGCCAGGTGAGTCAACGGTTTTAATGAAACGGTCGATGGTAAGGTGGATTCTTCTAGAATATTCTAAACCAGGTTAACTATTTTCAATCTAAACCTACTGGGAGGCCAAGACCCGGATGTTGAACTTTGCAACCCATCGAGTTTTTTTTCTTTCGTTTTTTTTTCGTATAGACTATAGACCAGAGATGAAGGTCTGCGGTAATGTTCGGTATGCTACGGTTAATTGTGTTTAATAACATTACCATCCGACGTTTTACACCTGTACAAATAGCCGTACCTTGCCCGTATCACGGAGCGCTGGTTGACTCCATTCATTATGATGAGGGGAGATAACTATGCCGCGAATTTATTTTCGGAAGAGCGCTGTGTTTATTTAGTTTAAGAAATAGTTAGAGATTGATTAAACCTTTTCACATAAACAAAACACTAACTTAATTTTTGAATTTGGCAGTCACAGCTAAATAAAAAATTGAACATTTTGTGTTTTTTTAAAATAATAATAAAATTACTTTATTAGCAAAACAGTTATTTCTTTTAGAACTAATGATTTATTTAAGGAACCGATTACTTTACAGCTGCCATTTTCACGCAGAGTTGGTTTACTGGATCCTAACCTTTCAGTTTTTTTTCTCCAATAATTATTACAGCTAACGATCTTCATTCCTGGCTTTCTTTTAAAAACTCCCAAACACTTTTACTAAAGATAGCTTATACTCTTAACAAATTAGCTGCAAAATCTACAAAATATTGCAAATAAACTCTATCAAAGATCGCTCAAATATTTCCAACAAAAATGGAACACACAGAATTTCTCTTCTTCTTCATTCTTAATAGCAATATTGGAGAGTATTTCCTCCAACACTATTAAGTATTACGTGTCAACATGGTATAGGCCATTGACTATGATTTCAGAATGCTTTTCTTTCTGGCTTTACTTCCATAGCTTTTGTCCACCCAAGAACAAACTTAGATGGGGTATCTCGAGCTATCGAGCCTAATCTGCCTGTGGTTGGAACTTTGACAAAAAAAATGACATACTGCTAACTGGTCAAAGACCAATGACATACTACCAGCTAACTGACCAAAGACCAATGACATACTTCCAGCTAACTGACCAAAGACTAATGACATACTACCAGTTAACTGACCAAAGACCAATGACATACTACCAGCTAACTGAACAAAGACCAATGACATACTTCTGACAAACTACCAGCTAACTGACCAAAGACCAATGACATACTACCAGAAAACTCTGAAAGACCAATGACATACTACCAGCTAACTGGCCAAAGACCAATGACATACTACCAGAAAACCATGAAAAACCAATGACAAACTACCAGCTAACTGACCAAAGACCAATGACATAGTACCAGCTAATCCTCAAAAACCAATGACATACTACCAACTAACTAACCAAAGACCAATGACATACTACCAGCTAACCCTGAAAACGTTACCCTCAACAAATGTTGCCCGAACCCCCTAGCCGTCAAAGATCACAGGGTTCCCCTCACCAACCCCCGCCCACAAGAGACGTGCCGCCGCTCATGTTTAAGGGCTGGACACGTACAGACTTGATGATGTCAGCCAAAGTAGTGCACCGGTAGTCGGGATCACGCCATTGTTTACCAGACGAAATCAATACGCACCAAAAAGTAGTCCATAGTAGCGACGTAGTCTGCCTTTATATGTTATATTCAGGATTTTAAAAAAAATATGAACTTTGCGATTTTTCTCCATATTTTATCAGATAGTCTCGATCAATTATAATTAGCGGTGCTGGTATCGCAATTAAACTAATTGCCCGGAGGCTTAATGCTGGCTAATATGGGGAAAAAAGAACAGCGTCTCTTAATTTGGATTGTTTTATGGACATATGCCAGTCAGGTGAAGGTCATGGGCCTTTGCCATTAAGGTCAAGGTTATGCCCCCTCTTTCCCTCATTGGTGACTTTATTGAAGGCCACCTATAACAAGTGCACTAAACATTTTTTAAAGCATAATTAAGACGTTGCGTTTACTTAAGTTAAGGTAAGGTAGGGTTGGGTTGGGTTGGGTTGGGTTAGGTAAGGTAAGGTAAGGTAAGGTAAGGTAAGGTAAGGTAAGATAAGGTAAGGTAAGGTAAGGTAAGGTAAGGTAAGGTAAGGTAAGGTAAGGTAAGGTAAGGTAAGGTAAGGTAAGGTAAGGTAAGGTAGGGTTGGGTTGGGTTAGGTTAGGTTGGGTAAGGTAAGGTAAGGTAAGGTAAGGTAGGATAAGGTAAGGTAAGGTAAGGTAAGGTAAGGTAAGGTAAGGTAAGGTAAGGTAAGGTAAGGTAAGGTAAGGTAAGGTAAGGTAAGGTAAGGTAAGGTAGGGTTGGGTTGGGTTGGGTTAGGTTAGGTTAACAGTGTCACTA